GGAGAAAGTCCCACGCTTCCGGAGGAGCGCTGGGGACACCGTGCCTCCCTGCTTCAGGATATGCGACATGGCCCGTCTGGTTGTCTAACTGAAGACGGACTACCTGGCCACGGACATGCTCTCTGAAGCGCTCGAATACCAACCGCACAGCTCTCAGCTCCAACACGTTGATGTGAAGGTGAGCTTCGCGGACCAGAGTCCGGAAGCCGACAGAACTACCAGAACGCCCCCAGCCCGTGAGGGACGCATCTGTCTGAACTGTGAGAGCTGGCGTCGGGATTTCCAAGGGAACCCCTGGTGAGATTCCCGACATTTGTCCACCACTGAAGGTGAGGTGTCAACCACTTTCGGGACTGTGAGACTGCGCCCAGATCCTCGTGTGAGTCCACAGCCGAGCCAAAGCTTGCTGTATGGGGCGCATCCTCAACGGCGCCCGCCACACTACAGAGATCGTCGCCGCCATATGGCCCAGTAGGCGGAGCCAAGTCCGTGCTGGTGCCTGGGGCTGGGAAGGAATGAAGATACCATCTCCTAACTCTGGTGACCCGTCGGGCGACAAGGAAACCGAGATCCTTGTTCGCTTGAATCGCCTCCAAGAAAACCAAGTCCTGGGTGGGTACCAGGTCGGATTTCTTGAGGTTGATGATCCACCCCAGTCGAGTTAGAATGTCTATCACTGTGTGAGTAGCATCTTGACTTCGCTGGCTGTGTTAGTGCTCGAGCAACCAGTCGTCTAGGTAAGGGTAACAACGCCTTCCCTTGCGAAACGAGCTAGGGTAGCTGGGACTAACATGAGCTTGGTGAACACCCTTGGGGCAGTCGATATGCCGAAGGGGAGCACCCTGAATTGGTAATACATCCCGTCGTAAGAGAACCGGAGGTACTGCTTGAACGAGGGATGTATGGGTACATGCAGAATCGCATCCTTTAGGTCGATTGACGTGAGCCAATCGCGGGCTGAACAGATGAGATCACCGGCGCGCAGTGTCTCCATCTTGAAGGATGGTACTTCGAGCATCGCGATTCAACCCCTTGAGGTTGAGAATCGGACGAACCCGCCGTCTTTCTTCGGGCGAGGGAAGTGCGTGGAGTAAAAATCCCGCCTGTTCCTCTCCCGGTGGAATGCGATTGCGGACTTGTCCAGCAGAGCCTGAACTTCGTCGCGCGCAGATGTCCGCCCTGGCTTGGCATGACGGCACCGAGTGCCGTCGTATGCCGGTGAAGTCGGGCGGACCTCGCTTCCACAGTGGGAGATGGCCTATGCTGACCGTGGCCAGCACCTGCGCCGTTGTTGGTAGCCTTCTCCCATTCCGGCAGGAATAGAGAGAGGCGGCTCCCACTGGGATATGGGGTAGGAGCGGGCGTGGACCCTAGTAGCGAGCTGACTGGGTGTGACACCGCGGCTTGAGCGGCAGCCTGTTGGGTTAACGGGAGGTCGGGGCAGACCTCCCGCGCCCGTAGCTGCTGGGAGCTAGTCGAGGACTGCTCCTTGCCCCTACCCTTGGCGGACCTGCTCCTCCGCCTACCCTACCAAGCCGCGAAGCCAGCCGGCAGACTCGGGTGTAGGCTGCACCCGGCGGAGGAAGGTGGCACGGAGCCGCTGGGAGACACCCCGGGTGCTCCAACAAGGTCTTAGAATCCTTGAAGGAGGTAGCTGCAGCGGCAGCCTCCCGTATGACCTGCTGTGCCCGGAAAGAGGGGTCGGCTCCCAGACGGAAAGGGAGAGCCAGCAAGGTCTGCTGTGTTGCTGCCGAGTACCTGACGCGTCGACAGCCACAGCCTGCGCGATCCCCATGACTGCGCACATCACCGTCGACGCAGCAGACCGCGAAAGGAGTCGCGAGGTGAGCCTGAACTTCCGACAGCTGACGGAGTAGCACGACATGCGGCGACACGCCGCCAGCATGCCCTCCGCCTCCAGGGCCGACCTCTGTATCGAGGAGAGGTAGGCCTCATGGACCACCACCCGCACCTGCTGCATCAGCGTTCCGTGAGACCTCCTCGTAGGGTCGATGCGTGCACAGCAGGGATTCCGCGAGGGCAAAAGGTGGAGTGAGGCGCCCTTGCCGAGCAGCGGAGCTGCCCGAGGAAGCCGAGCCTCCCCAGGGGCGGCGGAAGTGAAAACACTGCGTCAACGATCGGTCACGACGAACAGGAATCCTCCCCAAGCTGGTAGCGCCGCCACGAGTTCAGGTAAGTCAAACCTGACTCGGGTACCAGACAAGAAGGGATCGACCACGATCCGCGACCAACGATGGCAGAATGCGGGCTGCGTCTGTGAGGGTTGCGCTTAGGGGCAAACGCCGCCAGGCAAGCGGAACTCAGTCGGTAGTCCACGCTACCAGCAGGCACCGCTGCCTGGGGTAGGCCCTCGGCAATTCTCTGCCGGACCTCCCTCCGCGAAGGCGAAGCAAAACGGAAGCCGCCATTCTGCTCCTCGACCTCCCCGAAGCTCCATTGCCTGGCGTCCCGAGCCCGAAGTCAGAGGCTGGGTCTCCTCCGTAAGAGGACCCTAACCCCGACCCCGGTGGACTGCCTAGCTGGGCACCACAGGAAGGGAGGAACAGACCGACTGCTCCACGCCAGCGCCAGCCGGGCGTGTGGACCCGGTCCCGAGGCGCTGGAGGCAGGCCAGGCAGAACTGGTGCCTCCGCTCTCATGGGGCGGGTGTGCGCAGGGACCGGAATACCAGGAATACTCAACGGCCCAAAGCGCAAGCTCGAGAGGGGGACTGGGAGCACCTCCCTCTCCGGAGCAGCCGAGGCGTCCGGATTCGAAGCCAGAGGCAACGGATCGACAGACGCCTCAAGGCTGAGGGATCTAGCCGAGGCCGGCGATCCCACCCCCGGACTCTCCGCCCCCCGTCCGGAGTGGGCGAGGAACTCCTGGCGGAGACCTCCAACCGACTCCCGAACGAAGGACTTCATTGAGTCCATCTGCTTCTGAAACATCGACTCCATTAGAGACATGTCAAAACCACTCGAAGTGGTAGGAGAGGGGGAAGGGCCACGGAATTTTTTTCCTTTTTTGGACGCCCGTTTAGATTTTGACGGGGGAACCTGCGTCAGGTCCCCTCCTCCGCCACTCCATCTCAAGCGGTAAAACAGGGTGTCGGCCGCCTCTTCTGTGCCCGGGGAAAAGGCCAGACAAATTGAACATGTATCAGCCACATGGCCCGTCTTCTCCAGACAGGCCACGCATTGGGAGTGACTGTCAGCCCGGGAATACTTCCCCACAGACCCGAACAACAGGTAAAGCCTGAAACAAACACGTAAACATGTTAGTTAACTTGTGGCCAGAAGCAGAGAAACACGTGAAAACATTGAAAAATACGTGAAGGTTACCACGGAAAGTAATAGTTGGTTTTAAACGCCAATACGACGACGCAGCGACGCGCTAAACTTCCCGCCATGGCAGAGCACTTATGTAAACCACGGGAAAGTTTGCGTATGATTTTGATAGTACTTATACAAAGTCACAATTATGAAACAACCACTGTAAGGCTTTACTGTTATTGTTTTAGACAAATAAAACCAAACATACAGGTGGTGTCTCAGACATCTTAAAATACAGCGCCGTACGGCTCATGAAAGGTAATCACAACGAACGTCTGTTCAGGGCCGTGACAGCAGAAGGAATGATGATACGGGTCTAGGAGCCTACCCAGTTGGTGCGCATGCGCTAAGGGAGGTAACTCCGTGAGGTAGGGTCCGTATAATAAATAAAAGAGTTTATTTATTGTACAATCTTTTTATTCAAAAAACATTGATACAACTGTCACAGGACATTTTACAGCCGGAAAATGCATAATATGTACCCCAAGGACGATCTCTCTGAAAAAGAATTTAATGATAGTTTCTTAAAGAACTTTTTTGGTGGAGTCCGGAAAATTTTCAAATATAAGAAAGCTGTTGGGTATTAGTAAATGATAAACACTGGTACTATTTATATTTATGTGGCAATTTTGTACAATGATAAAATTTGCAATTCATCAGTCCGTTTCTGACTCAAACGGACTGTATACACAAATATGCAATCTGGCATGGCTACAGGCATTAAGGTTAGCAACTCAAACTGCACTCTGTTATCATCCACGAAAGCAAACATCTAGAACAACTATTCATAAACTGACAGGGATTTACAGGCATCAAGTCCCTTAGCTCCATATAGAAAAAGTGATGGGGTATCACTGCAAGTTTTAGGGTAAGCAGCACCAAGCAGAGCTATGGCAGGCAGGGATAAACATGCATATGTTCATTAAGCATGCTCCGCTCCACATGTACTGGTATAGAAACTATGGGGTATGGTTATAAGTTTTAGGGTAAGCAGCACCAAGCAGAGCTATGGCAGGCAGGGATAAACATGCATATGTTCATTAAGCATGCTCCGCTCCAAACGTACTGGTATAGAAACTATGGGGTATGGTTATAAGTTTTAGGGTAAGCAGCACCAAGCACAGCTATGGCAGGCAGGGACAAACATGCATATGTTCATTAAGCATGCTCCGCTCCACATGTACTGGTATAGAAATTATGGGGTATGGTTATACGTTTAAGGGTAAGCAGCACCAAGCACAGCTATGGCAGGCAGGGACACACATGCATATGTTCATTAAGCATGCTCCGCTCCACATGTACTGGTATAGAAATTATGGGGTATGGTTATACGTTTAAGGGTAAGCAGCACCAAGCACAGCTATGGCAGGCAGGGACACACATGCATATGTTCATTTAGCATGCTCCGCTCCACATGTACTGGTATAGAAACTATGGGGTATGGTTATAAGTTTTAGGGTAAGCAGCACCAAGCACAGCTATGGCAGGCAGGGATAAACATGCATATGTTCATTAAGCATGCTTCGCTCCACATGTACTGGTATAGAAACCATGGGGTATGGTTATATGTTTTAGGGTAAGCAGCACCAAGCACAGCTATGGCAGGCAGACGAAGAGCTCTAGAGCAAGCATCTAGAACAGAGCATGACAGCACTGTTCTGGTACCTGTGTCTGCGCCTCCGAGCTCTGGCTCCTCAGGGTTTGGATTTCCCCCTCTAACCTTGTCACCTTGTTTCTCAGTCCACTGGCCTAGAGCACACATAGCATGCTATACACCCGTCACAATGGGACCAATGTCCGTGTAGAAATATTGCCATGAAAACGTAAGATTTTCTAACAAGTGGATTAACTTCACAACATTTGCAAAACAATGGAGTGGATGAAATGGAACTTTGCAAATATTTATTAAATGATATCCAATTGGGGAACAGAATTGCTTTAAAATTTCTTATAAAGTTGTTTGAAAGTTCAATTCTTATATATACTTTGGCTGATTATTATCTCAGAAATTTGTCAAGAGATCTGGGTAGAAAAAAACTAGTCAGCTCTAAAATATTTCCTTCTATGCAATGTATATACAATGACAGATCTGATATCCAAGAACGAAAAAATCTTCCCATCTATGTATTCCTGTTGGAACACAACCGATGCATTCAGTGACAAGTTTTAAAGTTTTCAGTTTGTTTCCTACCTCATTGTCACTTTCATCAAGCTGACGTCTCAGATGGTTGATCTCATCATCCTGAGCCTTCATACGCGTCTCAGAGCGGTGCATCTGTAAAACAATGACACAATGACCTAGTGACACAGCGAACTGACCCCACTTTTAGCTTCTCCCCCGTCTCAGTCAGATGTAACACAATGACAACAGTCTGTATGAACCGTCTCCCCCGTCTCAGTCAGATGTAACACAATGACAACAGTCTGTATGAACCGTCTTCCCCCGTCTCAGTCAGATGAAACACAATGACAACAGTCTGTATGAACCATCTTCCCCCGTCTCAGTCAGATGTAACACAATGACAACAGTCTGTATGAACCGTCTTCCCCCATCTCAGTCAGATGTAACACAATGACAACAGTCTGTATGAACCATCTTCCCCCGTCTCAGTCAGATGTAACACAATGACAACAGTCTGTATGAACCGTCTTCCCGTCTCAGTCAGATGTAACACAATGACAACAGTCTGTATGAACCGTCTTCCCCCGTCTCAGTCAGATGTAACACAATGACAACAGTCTGTATGAACCGTCTTCCCCCGTCTCAGTCAGATGTAACTCAATGACAACAGTCTGTATGAACCGTCTTGCCCCGTCTCAGTCAGATGTAACACAATGACAGCAGTCTGTATGAACCGTCTTCCCCGTCTCAGTCAGATGTAACACAATGACAACAGTCTGTATGAACCGTCTTCCCCGTCTCAGTCAGATGTAACACAATGACAACAGTCTGTATGAACCGTCTTCCCCCGTCTCAGTCAGATGTAACTCAATCACAACAGTCTGTATGAACCGTCTTCCCCAGTCTCAGTCAGATGTTACACAATGACAACAGTCTGTATGAACCGTCTTCCCCCATCTCAGTCAGATGTAACACAATGACAACAGTCTGTATGAACCGTCTTCCCCCATCTCAGTCAGATGTAACACAATGACAACAGTCTGTATGAACCGTCTCTCCCCATCTCAGTCAGATGTAACACAATGACAACAGACTGTATGAACCGTCTTCCCCCATCTCAGTCAGATGTAACACAATGACAACAGTCTGTATGAACCGTCTTCCCCGTCTCAGTCAAATGTAACACAATGACAAAAGTCTGTATGAACTGTCTCCCCCGTCTCAGTCAGATGTAACACAATGACAACAGTCTGTATGAACCGTCTTCCCCATCTCAGTCAGATGTAACACAATGACAACAGTCTGTATGAACCGTCTTCCCCCGTCTCAGTCAGATGTAACACAATGACAAAGGTCTGTATGAACCGTCTTCCCCGTCTCAGTCAAATGTAACACAATGACAACAGTCTGTATGAACCGTCTTCCCCGTCTCAGTCAAATGTAACACAATGACAACAGTCTGTATGAACCGTCTCCCCCGTCTCAGTCAGATGTAACACAATGACAACAGTCTGTATGAACCGTCTCCCCCGTCTCAGTCAAATGTAACACAATGACAAAAGTCTGTATGAACTGTCTCCCCCGTCTCAGTCAGATGTAACACAATGACAAAAGTCTGTATGAGCCGTCTTCCCCGTCTCAGTCAAATGTAACACAATGACAAAAGTCTGTATGAACTGTCTCCCCCGTCTCAGTCAAATGTAACACAATGACAACAGTCTGTATGAACTGTCTCCCCCGTCTCAGTCAGATGTAACACAATGACAAAAGTCTGTATGAGCCGTCTTCCCCGTCTCAGTCAAATGTAACACAATGACAAAAGTCTGTATGAACTGTCTCCCCCGTCTTAGTCAGATGTAACACAATGACAACAGTCTGTATGAACCGTCTTCCCCGTCTCAGTCAAATGTAACACAATGACAAAAGTCTGTATGAACCGTCTTCCCCGTCTCAGTCAGATGTAACACAATGACAAAAGTCTGTATGAACTGTCTCCCCCGTCTTAGTCAGATGTAACACAATGACAACAGTCTGTATGAACCGTCTTCCCCGTCTCAGTCAAATGTAACACAATGACAACAGTCTGTATGAACCGTCTTCCCCCGTCTCAGTCAGATGTTACACAATGACAACAGTCTGTATGAACCGTCTCCCCCGTCTCAGTCAGATGTAACACAATGACAACAGTCTGTATGAACCGTCTCCCCCGTCTCAGTCAGATGTAACACAATGACAACAGTCTGTATGAACCGTCTCCCCCATCTCAGTCAGATGTAACACAATGACAACAGTCTGTATGAACCGTCTCCCCCGTCTCAGTCAGATGTAACACAACGACAACAGTCTGTATGAACCGTCTCCCCCCGTCTCAGTCAGATGTAACACAATGACAACAGTCTGTATGAACCGTCTTCCCGTCTCAGTCAGATGTTACACAAATGACAACAGTCTGTATGAACCGTCTCCCCGTCTCAGTCAGATGTAACACAATGACAACAGTCTGTATGAACCGTCTCCCCCCGTCTCAGTCAGATGTAACACAATGACAACAGTCTGTATGAACCGTCTTCCCCGTCTCAGTCAGATGTTACACAATGACAACAGTCTGTATGAACCATCTCCCCCGTCTCAGTCAGATGTAACACAACGACAACAGTCTGTATGAACCGTCTTCCCCGTCTCAGTCAAATGTAACACAATGACAACAGTCTGTATGAACTGTCTCCCCCGTCTCAGTCAGATGTAACACAATGACAACAGTCTGTATGAACCGTCTTCCCCATCTCAGTCAGATGTAACACAATGACAACAGTCTGTATGAACCGTCTTCCCCGTCTCAGTCAGATGTAACACAATGACAACAGTCTGTATGAACCGTCTTCCCCGTCTCAGTCAAATGTAACACAATGACAACAGTCTGTATGAACTGTCTCCCCCGTCTCAGTCAGATGTAACACAATGACAACAGTCTGTATGAACTGTCTCCCCCGTCTCAGTCAGATGTAACACAATGACAAAAGTCTGTATGAGCCGTCTTCCCCGTCTCAGTCAAATGTAACACAATGACAAAAGTCTGTATGAACTGTCTCCCCCGTCTCAGTCAAATGTAACACAATGACAAAAGTCTGTATGAACTGTCTCCCCCGTCTTAGTCAGATGTAACACAATGACAACAGTCTGTATGAACCGTCTTCCCCGTCTCAGTCAAATGTAACACAATGACAAAAGTCTGTATGAACCGTCTTCCCCGTCTCAGGCAGATGTAACACAACGACAACAGTCTGTATGAACCGTCTCCCCCATCTCAGTCTCAACATGCCCCTGTGTTTGTTGGATGTTTATAAGAAATACTGAAGCTATACTCCGCAGGGACATACAGGATACAAGGAGTGTAACAACAGTGTGATACACATTCATGTTATGAGTCACGAAACTTACTTGCTGAAGTTATGCATTAAAAGAACATCACTACAATATTATTACTGAGTGAGTTCAGTTTTACGCCTCTTTTAGCAATATTCCAGCAATATCACGGCAGAGGACACCAGAAATGGGCTTCACACATTGTACCCATGTGGGGAATCAAACCCAGGTCTTCAGCATGACGAACGAGTGCTTTAGGTTTAACCACTAGGCTACCTCACCGCCCTAAGATATTATTAAGTACCGGGGTATGCATGAAAAATATTCAATAATTGGCATAACACAGAGGAACAGTGACCAAAAGTATCAGAACTTTAATTTTACTTCTCATGACTGGAAAATCCCAAACCCCTCCAAGACACACACTATGTGACACATGCATCGTCACGGACACACGGGGACCACCCAGTGCAGTATATACACACACAATACAGTATATACACACACAATACAGTGTACATGCAACAGAGATATACATGCAGTGTGGTACACCACACTGGACAAACACAACAGTAAACAGTCAAACATGAATACAGAATACAACAGTAGCAAATATAACTTATATGCTTGAATGACAATTGCCAAAAAATGTTAATGCGTTATTTCTAAATAACAATAAATATGACAAATGATAAAGCGTCTACACATCACAAATTGTTCCTGAAAACAAATGCAAATTAATGGCATCTCACTCATGGACTGCCATAGGGAACAGGGCCCTTATTCTCCAAACGTTCTTAGCCCAAAGAATTCTTAACTTTGATCATAGCCAATGTGTTAAGAATGGCCTTAAGAAGTTCGCAGGGCTACGAACGTTTTCGAGAATAGCTAGCCAGAACATTATTCACAAAGTGATGTTATCTATCATTAGTCTATCGTGTCAACGGAATTATGTCCGTGGTAATGTATGACGATAATCCTGAATCTACTGACACTCTTGCTTTAATATTTCGTGTGAGCCAAATCGAAAAACTCTTACATCTCACCTACAAACATCTAAAAACTGGTTATTCAACTAACTATTTCAACTCAGAAAAATTCAAATTACAAATTGTTAGGGAATGAACATATTTGGTGATGAAATGAAGCATGCATGCCTATATTAAATAATTAACGCTAATGTGTGTTAACTTCTCTGTATGTTGGTCAACTCGAAATTACCAAACTAACAATCAGTACTTTGCCTACATTTTGCAATCATAACAGACGCCAAATTGACAAACAATGTTTCTTCACAAAGAATCAGCTTCTTAAATGTATTTTACAAACAATGTTTCTTCACAAAGAACCAGCTTCTTAAAAGTATTTTACAACAGACAACTATCTTAAATGCTGATCTAGCATAATTTGCAAGTTTCTAAACACAGCTCACAAAGAAACACTGAATATTTTCAACAGAGACAGCAGGGATCCTAAGAATGTTAGACATGTCAAGTGCTGTTCTCAACAAAGTGTAAACATTACAGATACAACTTCATCCACCCACATGCTGGCTACTTGTCTGAAAGACATCAAATATTTTAATGTTGTTCTAAATACTGTTGGTGTTTGATATATGCCCATATATTTCAAGAAGATATTTGGGGTTCAAATAGGTTCCATATCCAGAGTATCACATATTTGGTATGGCTGAAGCAGATCTCCGGAGGAGATTGGAATACCTGCTGGCATGAAGTTAGATGGAGGGACCAGCTACGCGGAGGATTGACAGAACAAACACACTGGATTCTGAGGCTATTGGTAGGGTTGAGGAAGGGGGTCAAGTCCCAGGGGGAGGGTAGATGGAGGGACCAGCTACGCGGAAGATTGATAGAACAAACACACTGGATTCTGAGGCTGTTGGTAGGGTTGAGGAAGGGGGTCAAGTCCCAGGACGAGGGTAGATGGAGGGACCAGCTACGCAAGGAAGATTGATAGAACAAACACACTGGATTCTGAGGCTGTTGGTAGGGTTGAGAAAGGGGGTCAAGTCCCAGGACGAGGGTAGATGGAGGGACAAGCTACGCTGAGGATTGACAGAACAATCACACTGGGTTCTGAGGCAGGGTTACGAAGGGAAGTCCCAGGACAAGGGTTGGTGGGGGTTAATGGATGTTACAGTCCAGCTATATCAACAAGCATTGTCACACAGGCCATCTTCCAGGGATCTACAGACTTGCTGAGAGATTTGCAAATATCAATCATCACATCAATGTTTTGCTTTAATTAGCACAAGGAGTTCAACTGAAGAAGATCCGTGTGAGAAGTGCTCTTCAGTAACCGATGGTTGTCATAAGAAACGAGTAAAGGGATTGGCTGGTAAAGCTCGCTGACTTGGTTGACACGTCGTCATATCCCAATTGCGTAGATCACTGGATTGTTTGGTCCAGACTTGACTATTTACAGACCGCCACAATATAGCTGGATTATTGTTAAATGTGGCGTTAAACAACAACAAAAAAGGACCTCTTGACCTCCTCCCAGACTTACAGTCAGCAACATGACTCTCTTGACCTCCTCCCAGACTACACAGTCAGCAACATGACTCTCTTGACCTCCTCCCAGACTTACACAGTCAGCAAAATGACTCTCTTGACCTCCTCCCAGACTTACAGTCAGCAACATGACTCTCTTGACCTCCTCCCAGACTTACACAGTCAGCAACATGACTCTCTTGACCTCATCCCAGACTTACACAGCCAGCAACATGACTCTCTTGACCTCCTCCCAGACTTACACAGTCAGCAAAATGACTCTCTTGACCTCCTCCCAGACTTACACAGTCAGCAACATGACTCTCTTGACCTCCTCCCAGACTTACACAGTCAGCAACATGACTCTCTTGACCTCCTCCCAGATTTACAGTCAGCAACATGACTCTCTTGACCTCCTCCCAGACTTACACAGTCAGCAACATGACTCTCTTGACCTCCTCCCAGACTTACACAGTCAGCAACATGACTCTCTTGACCTCCTCCCAGACTTACACAGTCAGCAACATGACTCTCTTGACCTCCTCCCAGACTTACACAGTCAGCAACATGACTCTCTTGACCTCATCCCAGACTTACAGAGTCAGCAACATGACTCTCTTGACCTCCTCCCAGACTTACACAGCCAGCAACATGACTCTCTTGACCTCCTCCCAGACTTACAGTCAGCAACATGACTCTCTTGACCTCCTCCCAGACTTACACAGTCAGCAACATGACTCTCTTGACCTCCTCCCAGACTTACACAGCAAGCAACATGACTCTCTTGACCTCATCCTCCCAGACTTACACAGTCAGCAACATGACTCTCTTGACCTCCTCCCAGACTTACAGTCAGCAACATGACTCTCTTGACCTCCTCCCAGACTACACAGTCAGCAACATGACTCTCTTGACCTCCTCCCAGACTACACAGTCAGCAACATGACTCTCTTGACCTCATCCCAGACTTACAGTCAGCAACATGACTCTCTTGACCTCCTCCCAGACTACAGTCAGCAACATGACTCTCTTGACCTCCTCCATGACTTACACAGCCAGCAACATGACTCTCTTGACCTCATCCCAGACTACACAGTCAGCAACATGACTCTCTTGACCTCCTCCCAGACTACACAGTCAGCAACATGACTCTCTTGACCTCCTCCCAGACTTACACAGTCAGCAACATGACTCTCTTGACCTCCTCCCAGACTTACACAGCCAGCAACATGACTCTCTTGACCTCCTCCCAGACTTACACAGCCAGCAACATGACTCTCTTGACCTCCTCCCAGACTTACACAGCCAGCAACATGACTCTCTTGACCTCCTCCCAGACTTACACAGTCAGCAACATGACTCTCTTGACCTCCTCCCAGACTTACACAGCCAGCAACATGACTCTCTTGACCTCCTCCCAGACTTACACAGTCAGCAACATGACTCTCTTGACCTCCTCCCAGACTTACAGTCAGCAACATGACTCTCTTGACCTCCTCCCAGACTTACAGTCAGCAACATGACTCTCTTGACCTCCTCCCAGACTTACACAGTCAGCAACATGACTCTCTTGACCTCATCCCAGACTTACACAGCCAGCAACATGACTCTCTTGACCTCCTCCCAGACTTACACAGTCAGCAACATGACTCTCTTGACCTCCACCCAGACTTACAGTCAGCAACATGACTCTCTTGACCTCCTCCCAGACTTACAGTCAGCAACATGACTCTCTTGACCTCCTCCCAGACTTACACAGTCAGCAACATAACTCTCTTGACCTCCTCCCAGACTTACAGTCAGCAACATGACTCTCTTGACCTCCTCCCAGACTTACACAGTCAGCAACATGACTCTCTTGACCTCCTCCCAGACTTACAGTCAGCAACATGACTCTCCCAAACACTTGAAATAAGGATGCAAAGTGTCAAACTTCCAACCATCCATATCATGAGACAGAATGATTAATTTAAGTGGAATAGATGCAATCAGTATTTGCAACAACACTGTCATTTTCCAAATGCTAAAAACAAAAAGAGTCAGGAATCCATGACCACAGTGTACTATACTACTTGAACCCAGCATACACTACATATAAAAATTATGTTCCACAAAGCATTGGGACACAACAGACATAGGTCACTACTAAAGTATGGCAGTTACGCTGACCTTACCACTTGAGACCTATGTGGAACAACACCAGCCATCACCATAACAACCACTAATCTACTCCATCCTACTCCTCCACCAGGGTGGTGTACAACTACACCTCATACAGCAACGTAGTGTTGAAGGTCATGCTTGGATCAACAACTAGACTCTGGCAAAACAGGTGAAGTGTAGACATAACTTGTCTGGCTTAACTCCATGCTATCGAACAACATTAGTGAGTTACAGTGGCAGTTGCCTTGCCATCAATGAGAATAATGCACGGTGCTAGAACTATCTACAAGTGATCCATTCCCATCTAGTCTGGAGGGCAAACGTAAATGTGCTCTGGTTTCTGTCCATGCAAGAATAATAACAATTAAAAAAAATAATTCCCCCCATGTGTCTCAGTTAACCTTTAATGCTTAAAATGTTTTGGAATTATGCTCATATAATTGATTTATCAACACACAAGGGTGAGATGCCATTCATCATTAAAAAACATTCTTACACCTTTTTCAGTTATCGCTTGATATCACCTAACTGATATCTCCTGTTGTGGTAAGTTTTGAATAGTGTGAACACTTTGTGTAATTCGGTAAGAAATAGAGTCACGTGACAAACACAAGATTTGGATTCACTCTTAACAAAAATAATAAGTTTTCTTCAAAGATTAATTCTGTTTGTATGACAACATGCTAAAAGACTCCCCATAGCATCTGTGGACATGTTACCATGGCAACAATTACCAAAGAAGCATCTGGACAGAAACCATGAGCACATGCAATCTGAAACATGAAACAACTGACAACTGGACTAATACACTGACAAGGTGAATAAAGTAGCTCTCAGCAAGAAAGGGTGAAGTGCGGGTGTTATTAAGGCAAACCGCTTAGAGTTACCTCCTCTTGGTGGCGTTTATGTTGACCTTCAAAGTTGTGGAGTAGATGTACATTGTCGTCAAGCTAGAAATCAAATAGTTGTAAGAGAGGATATCTAAGAGAGATGAAGGAGACCGATGGAGGTCATCCCCTGTTCAGCTGCTTTCTCTAGGATATAGGCCTTGGTGGATATGTTCTCATATCTACTCCGTACATGCAGGTATATATCATTACACTAGACTAAGGGGAGATAATGGGACATTCATGCATATATACATACTTCTACAGACAATGGATAGATTACATGGGTAGTTAGTATAACATCTTGAAAATGGATTCCAAATTCCATGTCATTCAACGAAATATTATTATGAATAACAACTTGTTTATTATATATACACAGTTTCAGGGCTAGCAAAGAATTTGTTATCCTTCAAAATACTCTTTGCCAAGTTTACATCCAACTCTAAATGGCCATAAAGACTCTCTATTATTAGTCAAATAGGATCAGAATATAATTGCTGAAGTTTTCTCATCATACTGTTTCAGATGCAGGATCCTATTAAGTCGAACAAAATCTGATTTTGATGTTAGTAAATTGTGGAAAGGGCCGTGCAGGGTCACTTGCAAAAAAAGGGATAAAAAGAAACCGACAGGCAAATCATTTCCCAGGTGCCGACCATTGTCTTTGAATACAACTAATCAAGAATTCCAAATGACAGATAAAAATTTGTTAAAAGTTTCAAAAGTTTGATACACTGTTCACAACCTGATTGGCATCCATAGGAAAAAACGAAAAACAGGAGCAGATAACTCTTATACCTCTGCTACAGCTGCATCCCTCTTCTCTTGTAAAGACAACACGTCCCGACGTAGTTTTTGAATTGTTTCATCTCGTCGAGCCAGCTCAGACTTGAGGATTTCATGGTGATCTTGTGTTGACACCTGGCCGTCTCGCAAACGTTCCTGCAGGGCGCCGATCTGTGCAGTACAGACAGATATTTATTGACTGCATCACAAGTATGTGCATAGACACGTATAACTTACCTGTCAGTGTTCAAAGACAAGATCAGATATTTATCAAGACCTGCTTAGATTTTGATATCCATCCCTAAGTCGAGAGCAAATGATAGCAAATATTCCCAAATTGGAAATATTAAACTTTCCAATGTTTAACATTCAACAAACATTATTACTTTGCTGACATGCCTTGCATTTCAAATAACAGGACAAATAATGGTATATCCTTTGTACTTAGTGTAAAAGACACCCGTCAAGATCCGGGTTTGAATTGGTCTTCAGTAACCCATGCTTGTTGTAAGAGGCGACTAACGGGATTTGGTGGTCAGGCTCGCTGACTTGGTTGACACATGTCATCGTATCTCAATTGCGTGGATCAATGCTCATGCTGTTGATCACTGGATTGTCTGGTCCAGATTGCTTACAGACCGCCGTCATATAGCTGTAATATTGCTCAGTTCAGAGTTAAACAACAAAGAAACTAAACAAACAAACGAATGCAAAAGTAAAACACTGTCAGTTGCCGTAAAAAGGATTTTTTTATAAACTTTTTTGAACAGACTGATTTTGTTCATGATCTGCCTTGAGAGGGTACTCGGTTTGAAATCCTACATGAATCCCTGACGACACACAGGAATGACTAATGACCCTGACAGCCTTAACTGTGTCTTCACTGATCAGCCAGAGCATATCTGATGATCCCTGTTGATGCTGATACAGTAAATGTGTTCCATGTGCTCATCTTCATGATATGACATTACCCAATGACTATACAGACCCTTCTCCCTGAGAGTTAGGACCCAGAAACAAGCTGGAAACAGTGTCCCAATACATAACTGACTGTATGAGACAATGAGTGAGGAATCTCACAAGAGAATTTGTTTTACAAAGATTCACTCAATGTAGACCTTGCAACTATTTCCCCAAATCAGTGTACACCTTTCCCACAGAGATCCTGCAGGCTGCAGAGGGCCAAGTTGGTCTCGCACAAAGCTGTTCCATGAATTATGCACAGCAGAATCTATAATGGGTGAGACTGCTCACCATTCCATGAACTGTAACACATGTTATATCTGGGATTACACTTTCTCAGTAAAGTACAGATTCTAGTACTTTTGTTGGGTTGAGTCCCATCCAGGATTCGAACCCACAACCTCAGTGTCATCACCTAATCGCCAGCACATAAAGTCAGCCGTCTAAACCGCTCAGCCACCTTGACTTCCATAAAAAATGGAAGTTGGACAACTGGTAGTCTTGACAGCGGACTTTGTGTACCCCTCTGATAAGTTTTGTTTGAGTGGCATTCTAGAAGTTGGTGGTATAGGGATGACAAGACTTTATGGATGTTCAACTTCTTTATTTTAATGTTAAAAAAGAAGAAGTTGATCATCCATAAAGTGTAGTCATCCCTCTGATAAGTGTAAATTGGCACGGCTCCCACGGCCGAAAGCTATGATTACACAATGCCATTTAGAAAGTGGTCAAATGTAAAATATGTTATATTCATATACATATGTTACATTTGACCACTTTCTAAATGGCATTGTAAACCAAAAGTCACTGTGTTCTTTAATCTGATTGGTTGAAAAACGTGATCAAATGGTATTCGATTCCCGGAAATTCGCTGCGTATTAATACATACAAAGATCGCTCACACCATTGTATTGTTACGTCGTCAGCTGTGATGACGTCATTCACATCATATTGTGACGAAAAGTCCGAATGACATCACAAATGAGCAGTTCCAGATGCTACCATGGGAGACAGCCGAAACGGACGGTTGATGATATTTCACTGCTGTACCCCTACTCGATGTCAATGAGTGCAGACACAAAAACGTGTGTGGACCTTTTGGTTTACTTTTGTGTTTACAATGTCGATTAACATCATGTGTTGGCCAATTTCCGGGTGTTATTGAGTATTTGAAGCACGGGAATATTCCATTTGAAGCCTCCGGCTGGTGCCGTCGGTTCCAAATGAATTCCCGTGCTTCAAATACTCAATAACACCCTGGAAATTGGCCAACACATGATGTTTATCTCCTAATTGTGTAATCACTCCATGAACTGCTGCTCAACAACAATAATAACAATAGTAATACTAATAGAAAGCCACCTGCAAAGTGCATAATTACCATCAGAAATGACAGCTCAATGTGTTGTGCTATTACAATTATGATAATAACATTATGATATACACAGCATTACCTCATCCAGAGACTTTCTTCGGTACTCCTTACTTTCCCGGAGCTCACTTTCTAAGGACCTTATTCTTCTTTCAAAATGAGACACCTGAAAATCAAAAATAAAAATTTATTTAAAACTGCTATATGTATTAAAGTTTAACATCTACTGATCACATCATGATCATCTTACGGACGGTTGTAAAACATACTGAAACACAATTATCCTGTCACAGTGAGAATAGCCTATGATGTCACTTCCAATTGGTGCATTTGGTTTATTTTAGACTGACTGAGTTTAGTTTTACGCCGCTTTTAGCAATATTCCAGCAACATCACGGCGGGGGACACCAGAAATGGGCTTCACACATTGTACCCATGTGGGGATTCGAACCTGGGTCTTCGACGTGACGAGCGAACGCTTTAACCATTAGGCCACCCCACCGCCCCTCATTTTATTTTAGATGTAATTTGGTTCACTCAACATTGTTGGGATTCATATCTGCCTACTATCCATTGTGTTGTGGTGAAATGAACTGGAATAAAGGATTTATTTCTATATTATGTCCATGTGTTTCCAAAGTAAGTTTAACAGAAGCGACATATCACTATATACGACATACATACAGCTACTATTTGTTTTCTTGGACATATCTTATCTGTAAAGTGTCAAAGGAGAGCCCAAATGAATAATACATCCGTTCGACAAGATTAGGGTGAGATGAATCATGGGGTCTCCTTACATCTTGGCTGGACTGGGAATGCTGGCTTTTGACCGCTGTTACCTCACTCCGAAGTTGTCGCACTGTGTCTTCATACTTCCCAACCTGCACAGACAAGTTACGCAGATGTTAGTTTTGTCTAACCTGTATGGAATTGAACTGAACTGACTTCAGCAACAATCAGATGTCTTCTTGCTGAATCATGGTGCATATTCAAATCTGGGCCTGGGGCTGATAACACTAGTTGAGTTGTGAGTTAGTTGTAATGTTGCTTTGAACAATATTCAAGTTATCACATGGTATAACAGCTTACTATACGGGGAAGGCCTGAAGTGATGGTGCTGGTGTTGGAATTTTCCGAAGTAAAAAGTAAGTTGGCTTTCTTGGGATTGATTCTGACCCAGAATTCTCAGTGGAGCACTATGCGGCTGACTTCAAAGGCATGAGGGTTTGTTCCAGGGTATACCAGGGGTAATAAGGTATTGATGACTAGGTCCTGACAGAAAGTGTGTCTGACCAACAGGACATGGAAGATACATCTGAAGCATGGAAAAGGAATGTGTGTCTGACTCCTGGATAAGGAATGCGTGTCTGTATCCTGTATCCTGGGTAAGGAATGTGTGTCTGACTCCTGGATAAGGAATGTGTGTCGGACTCCTGGATAAGGAATGTGTGTCGGACTCTTGGATAAGGAATGTGTGTCTGACTCCTGGATAAGGAATGTGTGTCTGTATCTTGGATAAGGAATGTGTCTGACTCTTGGATAAGGAATGTGTGTCTGACTCCTGGATAAGGAATGTGTGTCTGACTCTCGGATAAGGAATGTGTGTCTGACTCTGGATAAAGGAATGTGTGTCTGACTCTTGGATAAGGAATGTGTGTCTGACTCCTGGATAAGGAATGTGTGTCTGACTCTTGGATAAAGAGTGTGTGTCAGACTCTTGGATAAGAAATGTGTGTCTGACTCCTGGATAAGGAATGTGTTTCTGACTCTTGGATAAGGAATGTGTGTCTGACTTCTGGATAAGGAAAGTGTGTCTGACCTCGCTGGCAGCCATCCTGTGTTTGTCCTGCAGCATCTTGATGGTCTGTACATGGTTGGTGTTCTCTGACTCTTTCACGGCCAGCTCATTGTGCAGGTCTGTCAGTTGGTTCTGGAGGGACAAAATCTTTCGCTCTCGGTTCTGCATCTGAAAAACACCAGTATACGGTCCAAGTATGGTAAGCAGGCAAACAGTTGACATTCATGAGGAATGGTTCTTGGATTATTGTTTTTAAAGTTGCAAACAAAAGTCACAGCTCCCCCCGGACTCATTAGTCTGATACCTGGGCTTTGCCGTCTGCTGCCCTCTATGTCTCTAGGAACTTACCTCATACTGAAGGTCATCTAACTTCTGTTCTGACTTCCTGAGGTCGGCCTTGACCTTGCCAACAGCATAGTCTCGGTCTGACTGACTAGAATACTGGTCCAGATGGGAGTCGGTGGAGCGCTGTGTGAACACACTCACCCAGTTACACATGGTGATAAATAAGCTCCGAGGTGGTTGATAGTCTCCACTGTTTGCATCTTCATCACATACAGTATGAGTAACAGCCAAATATTATAATGCTTGTTTCGCCCAGTGATGCTGGGATTTATCTACGATTGCCCCTCAATTGAGAGAAAAATGTTATTTGTTCAAAACTGGGACATTCTTAAATTCAGTGATATCTCAACAGGGCTCCAGATAAGGGCCGTATCGGCGCATGTACGGCTAAAATATATGCACGATACAGTAGGTAATAATTTAGAAAACGTAGCAGATACGCACCACAGAAATGGTGTATGGTCTCAGAATAACTTACGGAGGTATTTATCTGAAAACTTAATATTTTATTGTTTATTGCCCTGTTTACACAAGAGTAGCAATGTTGTGGTGCATATATGAAACGAAACACAAGATTACTGATACTGCATTAAATTCCATTCAGTCCTCTAAATGTACTCTTATTGTTTTCCAGTACTCCTATATTGAAAAAATAAGGAGTACATACTCCTGATGTTGAACAATTATCTGGAGCCCTGTCTCAATATTTCATTCAAATGAAAATTATGCTTTACATCTTGTTTAATGGTCTTGGTGAAATGCAAGTGACCTTTGTAAGACAAGAAGGCAAATTCCTCAACAACAAGGCAATTCAACAGGTCCTTTTGGCACACCACAAAGTCAGTGCATGACATGTAGATATGTTTCCTCAGCAATATGCCAGCACTATCATGACTGTCTGGAAATGAATGAGGCTGGACAGGGTAAACATAAGGTTGATATAATGAGCTGTATCATCAGGGTATGATGACATACATTTATCCAAGTCACAGACCCTGCACACCCAATCATCCAGTAACATCTAACAATCAGTAATGGTAGCATGGGGCCAGTCCATCAAAGGTGGCGAAAGGGTTAGTGAGTGAGTATCGTTTTATGATGCTTTTTCCAATATTCCAGCATTATGACCGTGGTGGACACCAGAAATGGGCCTCACACATAGTACTGATGCCGGGAATCGAACCCAGGCTTTCGGCGTGATGGTTTAATCTCTATTCTTCCTCTTCGCCACTAGGAGGCGACAGTGACTGGGTAGGAAGACAGATATGGACACAACAATGGAGGGTGGTCACCTTGTCCTGTAGCTCCAGCTGCATGGCCTGGATCACGTCTTCCTTCCTCCGGAGCTGGTCCTGCAGGTCCTGGACACGCCCCGAGGAGCTGCTGCTGCTGCTGCCGTCCTCCAGGTGCCTGCTTCAACACATGATCAAGATGACAACGTGTCAGAAGCTCACACCCTTTTCACAACTCTAATATTTAACAGTGTCGCATATTAGACTTTGGATTTCAGGGACTTGTCCCCCAAAATAACTTACACTTTGACTATTGTAAGTCTATGTTAGAGTATGAATGATTGTTATAATCCAAGATGTTCCACAAAGCAACAACATTGCTACAACTATTGATAGTCTGTGTCAGTGTAAGGGAAGTATGTTCATAATAGTGCCAAGATGTGGAACAGAACCCAGGGTTGTCAAACCAATCGTAAATCACTGACTGTATAAATAGCATAGTTCATAATGATATTGAACTCAAGGGTATTTATACAATTTGATATTGTGGTGAATATTTCCACTTACAGTGTTCATAAGGACCTGTAATGTCAGACACTGTCACCAGATTTGTAATCCAAGAATGTTACATGACAGATATTCCAAGGGTGATAACTCTGACAATCCCTCCATCAAATTCTGCTCACTCCCAATAAAGAGCCTGTATTCCCCACTGGTGTCAGTCGTTTAAGCATCAGCATCATTATGTTTTATAGCTAAAATACATGGAATTATCATGAAACGGCCCTCCCATTATCAGAAATTTGCGGGCCGCTGCAAATGATATTGGACCGCTCAACCTTAACGACGGGCCACCATCAGTTCTGTTGTCAAGTGACGTCATTGTGGGTGCGTGGGCTTACGGTTCATTCGACATTGGCTTTGGACTGGCGATATTCTGGGTCAAACAAGTCAAAGCAACCCGAATTCCCGCTTTAAATAGCGGTAATATTGGCTTTCTTGCTGGTCCAAACCTTAACAATTGCACTATTAATGTTGTTGTTGGACCAAAACCGAACACTGACATAGTTTGACATGTTGCAGGCTGTGGTCTTGTCAAAGGCCAAGGTCGAATGTCGTCCCTTTTTGTTGTGACGTCACTTGAATTGTTCGATGACGTAATTGCATTCGGTCAGTCAACCCCGTCAGAGGTTGGTTTTGAGTAAACTTACAGTCAAATTCCTTTATTGTTTCCTTTTTCTTTTCAACACAAATTCCATGTATTTTAGCAATAATAACGGTAATGCTATTTTTGAGGGCATTATCATTTGCAGAAGCCCTCGGGCTTTTTCAACTGCCCTCCTACGTCGGGCAGTTAATGGAAGACCTCGGGCTTCTGCAAATGATAATGCCCTCAAAAATAGCATTACCCTTATAATATTTCATCATCCTTACAATATGCCATGCTGATGATGGAGGAAAGGCAGGGATAGAAAAACCAGCCTGAATATCAATAACGTATAGTAACATACAGAAAATGTTTCAAACATTTAACAGCCCTTGAGACACCTTTTACATTAGTGAAAATGGTTGAGCTTGTACTAATTTTATCCCTGAAAGATCCAAAGTTTATCAGTATGGAGAACTAAAGATCCAAAATGCCAGTTTTAGTGCCAGCCCAGTTAGACGCCACTTAACATGGAAACCTGACTCAGAGACATGATAATATAACTACGATGTCCAAAGGACTAATGTCGACAACACTAACCTATATAGGGATGGATCAGTGTAGAAAACAAGCTGATAGAAGTCAAATTTTCACTCCACTATATACACATGTACAGTGTATGCCATACAGAAAATTTGTCAGGATTTTCAAACTACTATACAGTGACATCTAGGTCAGGGGGGAGGTAAGTCTGTCAGGTGGAAGGGCATACCACTAGGGATAGCTATGACTTAGTGTTAAAATTTTCACTTCATTCTGTATGTGTTTGTGGAAACCACAGAATTAGGCAACCATAATCCAGAGGGAATGTTTACGCCTTAATTTGACGGTTTTAGTGCCAGCCATGTTAGACGCCACTTAACACGGAAACCTGACTCAGAGACATGATACCGAGTCTAAGCCTTCCAGTCCTTGTTTTCTCTCTTATGCTGAGTGCAAGGCAGAGTAATGACAAGTAACACGTTTTAATGTCTCTTGGTATGACGCAGCCAAAGATCGAACCAATGACCCCCAAAAGTGTGAACATGCTGTATGTGAACACAGTGCTAGGAAATAATACCTGCAGTCCAACATAAATACTTCACATGTGTCTGGTAAAAAAAAACAAGGACAGATGTCCACTCATGCTATAAGAAACCAAGCACCTGTCCCCATTGTCATAAACATGCAACATCAAAACAGAGTATCCAAATATAAATGTGAATCAGTGCAAGTACATACCTCTTGGTGTAAGTTTCATGCATTGAACCAAAAACTTGATCTACAGTGAGCTCACGAAACCTAACAGTGTCAATCTGAAATAAAAGATGGTATTGATTTGACAACAGCGAAGACTTATTACATATTGGGTTCTGTCACCAAATTTCAACAATCATGCCTGCTGGCGAGAGACAACAGCAACGTAAACATGCCGGTCAACACGTGGTCACTGAGTGGGGCACATTGTGCTCCTCATGGACAACATATGACATCTATGACAGCAGGTGCCCCCTGGCATCTATCCCATGCAAGTGTTCTGAGCTATGTGAGCAGTTCAAATTAATGTCAGACAAAAATCATACTTCCTCAAGTTTGGGTATTTGGGCGAACAGGTCTGCCAGTTTTGCCTTTAGACAAAACATATCTTTCATGGAATTCACTACACATGTATACAAGGCACTAATAAAAAGGTTTGTAGAAAAATTTACACAAAAATATAAAGCCTCCTGTGTCATTTTTTTGACAAATTAGGATGAAAGTTACATAATTTGTGATCAAAAGGAAGCGCTCTCAAGACATATATTCTTTCAGTAAACATCAAAATGTGCTTAAAGCAACATACACATCAAAATAGTCCAAAAGACAATTGTTGTACAAAACATGGCAAAGATAAAAGCTCTCAGTAGTATTTAGTGTCATCCAAACCATGGACGTGAGCACTATCTGCTGGGCTAGGGTCAACCAACAAACACAAACATTCATGTACCTCCCAACGTCCTGCCGACCGGGCCACGCTGACGACGTTGATGAGCTGGTCGATGTCATGGTTGAGGTTGCTGTTCTCATCCCGGAGCTTGCCGTTGACATCTTCCTGCCGCGACAACCTGGACTTCATCTCCTGGTCAAATGGAGAGTACAACATTGTGTCAAATCAAATCTACAACTGCAATATAATCACAATGATAAAAAATTGCATCAAAAGTCAGCCAGCATTTGAAAGAAAGATGTTAGAAAATTAGTCAGATCAGATCAGCTCCTAATTATGCAAATGAGAACAAGCATTGTCACTAAGGTGACATAATCCCCTACTGCAAATTATCAAATCAAACTTAAAAAGTAATGAAAGTTTAAGAGGAAGTTAAATGTCAACAAAAACATGACCAGTCAACCTCTCTTGATATCTTCTTTAGTTGTTCAAACACATAAATATTTTCAAGACTGACTTTGACCTTGACATGAATGTCATAGTGTATGAAATATGCAAAAATGGTACTAAAGAAATTGCTTATTGAAAAACATTCAAGGGAAGTCTTGAAAGTCTATGAAGAAAATCCAGTGAATACAGGTTAACATGCTGAAATCTTCAAAGTGTCGCCATGACATTGAAAATTAAGTGAAGATCACCAAAATCGACTATGCCCTGCGCCTTCCCTAGATAAAGCTTGTTGTTGAATATGAAGAAAATCTAGAGAGCGGTTCTTGAGATATCTCGCTGACAAGAGTAAAACATTTAAGTCCCCTTGTGACCTTGAAATGAAGGTCAAGGTCACCAAACCTGACTGGGACCTATCTTATACTGTGACGAACCTAGGTACCAAATATGAAAAGAATCTAGTCAACGGTTCTTAAGATATTCTAATTCGTACGTGCGTACGGACGGAGCCTAATACTATATCCCCCGCTTTCATCAACACTTGGTTTGAAGTCATGACAAACACCAAGTGCAAAGCCTTTACTACTCATACTATTAGCAATGACAAATAAATATGTGATCTGTATATTAAGATCTACTTGCGTACCTCCAGCATCGTCTCCGCCCTAGTCTTTTCCACGGACAAGTTCCGCAACTCCCTCTCCAAGTCCCGCGTCTTGGAAACATAGTCCTGAAAGAGAGTTGCACATTGAATCACTGAAGCAGACGAGAAACTAGGCCAGCCTGATTGATACATCAAACTGGCAAACTATTTTCAGGTAAATAACGCCACTATTCCTGGAAAGCAGTATTAAGTGCTCTGACAAAAAAAACACATTACACACATTGCCAACCTTTCAAAAAAGAGAGAAGGAAGGTTGTTTCTTTAAGGGCAGTTTCAATCTCTTTTACTTTCTTTGACTAATGGTGGTTCTATGTCAGATTTGTGCAGCAAATTTACCAAAATGGAATAAAATGGCATAAAATGCGGTCATTTAAAGGAATATGATCAAAACTTGTGGAATATGAGAAAGACAAGGTCATCAAGGGCTCCAGGTAAGGGTCAGTTATATAAAGGACACTGGAAATACATAAATATTAAGTTAGAGAACACCTGACTTTATCATGTGACAGTTGTGTGAAGAAACCAGTTGTCTTTAATTCCTTTGCAGCAGTAAATCTAACTCTTGAAATAATATAGGACATTTTGTTTCCACACCACATTAACTGACATATTCAGTAGGGCTGCAACGAATACACTATGTGGCGAATATGATACGTAACATGAATATTGGGTAACGGATACGAATAATTATTCATGAATACAATATTGCAGTTAAGTGATTGATGTACAATATGGAATGCCCGTGTTGACAGTTTTGAATTGTCCCAGCAATAACCAGTGATCTCATGACACTCAAATTTGGTATGTAATCGTTATAGTTGACAGTACCATGTGCAGTCTTGCCAAACTAACATGACTTGCACTACTGCAATGCTAGCACATATTCAATCCTTGCATATCTCACTTTGGAAAGGACTTAAGGGTTCAAGTAAAACGTGCTCCTTTAAAAAAATCGTAAATGTTCGTTAATATTCGGTTCTGGTGACCACGAATAACGAATTGAATTCATGAAGGGCTATGGTTCGATTCACCGAATACGCGAGTGAATCGTCACAGCCTTAATATTCAGTCATCATCATCATCATCATGAGTATCTGACATGTTTGAAGGCGAAATAGGAATAATGAAAATAGGAGGTCGAACATTCATAACACAGTACCACATATCAACAAGATGCCTAAATGTTTATTACTATTCAGACACTTGTCATTTCTGGCATTTAATGGAAAGATAATAATGGTGTTCAGTGTAGAAGCTAGCATTTTACTGAGACCCCAGCATTTAATGAAGACAATGGCACTTGATAAAGACGCCACTTTAATCCAAACACTCCTGATTAATCAACTCGCCAGTGTTCACACAAGGAAATATGTAAATATAAGTTTGTGCATGACCCTATAATGTGAGGATAAATTTGGAACATTAATTTTTGCCCGACAGTAGACATGTACCGGTACTCCATACCGGATGTATTACCAGAGACTGTTGTGAAAAGAGTCTAAATGTATGCAGTAGTCAGACTAACAGGGAGTGAGTGAGTATGGTTTTATGTCGCTTTTAGCAATATTCCAGCAATATCACGCTGAGGAACACCAGAAATGTGCTTCACACATTGTACCCATGTGGGGAATTGAACCCTGGTCTTCGGCGACGAGCAAACGCTTTAACCACTAGGCTACCTCACAGACTAACAGACTTCATTGATGCATGTGATCGACTGTAAATGTGTGGATCAATGCTTATGGTGTCATGTGTGAGAAGTGACTGTCCACCGTCGTCATACAGCTGGAGAATTGGTGAGTGTGGTGGTAACCAATAATCAATCAATGATCAATCAATAATCAATCAATAATCAATCAATAATCAATCAATAATCAATCAATGAAACCATTACACAAAATATAAATATATATTTTTAATCAAAGAAACCTTTTCCTCAGTTGCTCATGCAGGTCACTTTTAATTCCTAAAACAAATTCCTAGCAGGTGGGAAAAACAACTGACATTAAAAAGACGTTTCAGATAAATATTTTTGCATTGTCATATAATCTGAATATTTTACCATGTGTGCAATTTTAGGAGCATTTCATCAGTCCTGCATGTATGCTACTATTTGTGGTGAAAAGATAAAACGTGTAGCAGCAATAGAACTAGGGCTTTTCAGCAAATATTTTTCCATTTGTTTCTTTAAAGTTGGCAGAGTTTGTTATCCAATCATAACAAGAAGACAAAGTCATCAATATCCCCCTCAATGGCAAAATACTCTTCATGATTATGTCTACGAGTTATGATTATGTCAAATATTTAGGTGTGTATATAGAAAAGTGGAAGGAGAGTATTGAAAGGTTTTTTAAGTTATGCTCCAGAAACGAGCACTATCACCAATTTCAGTGTATGTCAAACTTGTTGCCATGGAAACACCAAAAATATTTTATTCAGAATTCCAAAACTACCAAAAAGGCACCAGTACACCACCAGACCAATCTATGTGTCAAGTTTGGTGAAGAAATAGTGAACGGTTTTAGAGTTCTGCTCCGGAAAAGTGTACTACCACCAATTTCAGGCTAAGTCAAAACTTGTTACCACGGAAACGCCAAAAATATTTTATTCAGAATTCCAAAACTACCAAAAGGCACCAGTACACCATCAGATCTATCTATGTGCCAAGTTTGGTGAAGAAATAGTGAATGGTTTTAGAGTTCTGCTCCGGAAAAGAGCACTACCACTAATTTCATTCTAAGTCGAACTTGTTGCCATGGAAACACCAAAAATAGTTTATTCAGAATTCCAAAACTACCAAAAAGGCACCAGTACACCACCAGACCAATCTATGTGCCAAGTTTGGTAAAGAAATAGTGAACGGTTTTAGAGTTCTGCTCCGGAAAAGACAAATGTGCACGGACGGACGGACGCACGCACGCACGGACGGAGTCCATTTTAATACCCCCTGCAAAACGCGTTGCGGGGGATAAAAAGATTTCTTTTGAGACAAAGAATTCTGCAAGACTGTTTTTAACATGGAGACTGATACCTCCTCAGGCTGTAACTTAAGCCATTAATCTAAAGCCCAAATCTTGTAAAATTTTGTTTGGTCCAGTATGCTCATGCTATTTATTACAAGTTATGACATACCAGTAAAACTGACTAAACCTGGTACAAGACCCAAGTTTAGGCTAACAGACTAAAAGATTTTGTCCAGGCTGTATCTTCTGAAACCCACAATTCAATTCAAACCTATCTCTCAACAATCCATTCACCAGTGATACACATCTTCAACTTGTTAAAAAGTAATAGGCTGAAAGAAGCTGAAAGTGCTGTCATATCTACATTTTCAAATTTCAGATTCCTCAAACCCAGAAATACCACCGTTATCAGGCCATCAAGTTTAAACTTGTACGAGAATTAAATGGTTGTGCACACTTCACCGGCAGTAAAAAATGACTCACTTTCTTTTTGTAAAGGCCATTCTGAAGCAAACACTGATCACTGATAAAGTCGGTCCTCACAAAGTTATCCAAATGACTTAACACTGGTAAATGCGCTGGGCTCCAGTGGCCCCGACGTCGGCACGATATACACACAATCAGGAAGTACAGACACTGAATTACCTGTTGTCAGTTACCTGAAGGCAGTTCAAGAGATGATAATCATAATAATGACATTAACACTCTATTTCAAGCTTCTTTTAGTCTATTATTTCCCTGTCATCAAATGAGTTCAAAATAAAAAATTATCTCTTCTTACCCACCAAACAACCAGCATTTATGGCTCAACGGCGCATTCCTGGTCCAATTTGACAAAGTGTATTATCTGTTAGATAAACCAACAGTTCATATGAAACATGATGAGCAATGTCTCACCCAGGGTGTAATAAGCAATATCTCATCATCAGGGTGTAATAAGCAATATCTCACACAGTCAGGGCATAATAAGCAATGTCTCTACCAGTCAGGGTGTAATAAGCAATATCTCATTATCAGGGCGTAATAAGCAATGTCTCACCCAGTCAGGGCATAATAAGCAATATCTCACCCAGTCAGGGCATAATAAGCAATATCTCACCCAGTCAGGGCATAATCAGCAATATCTCACCCAGTCAGGGCGTAATAAGCAATAACTCATCCAGTCAGGGCATAATAAGCAATATCTCACACAGTCAGGGCGTAATAAGCAATATCTCACACAGTCAGGGCATAATAAGCAATATGTCACCCAGTCAGGGCGTAATAAGCAATATCTCATCCAGTCAGGGCATAATAAGCAATATCTCATCCAATCAGGGCATAATAAGCAATATCTCACCCAGCCAGGGCGTAATAAGCAATATCTCACCCAATCAGGGCATAATAAGCAATATCTCACCCAGTCATGGCGTAATAAGCAATATCTCACCCAGTCAGGGCTAATAAGCAATATGTCACCCAGTCATGGCATAATAAGCAATATCTCACCCAGTCAGGGCGTAATAAGCAATATCTCACCCAGTCATGGCGTAATAAGCAATATCTCACCCAGTCAGGGCATAATAAGCAATATCTCACCCAGTCAGGGCGTAATAAGCAATATCTCACCCAGTCAGGGCATAATAAGCAATATCTCACCCAGTCAGGGCGTAATCAGCAATATCTCACCCAATCAGGGCATAATAAGCAATATCTCACCCAGTCAGGGCGTAATAAGCAATATCTCACCCAGTCAGGATGTAATCAGCAATATCTCACCCAGTAAGGACGTAATCAGCAATATCTCACCCAGTCAGGACGTAATCAGCAATATCTCGCCCAGTAAGGACGTAATCAGCAATATCTCACCCAGTCAGGACGTAATCCGCAATATCTCACCCAGTCAGGATGTAATCAGCAATATCTCACCCAGTCAGGATGTAATCAGCAATATCTCACCCAGTCAGGATGTAATGAGCAATATCTCACCCAGTAAGGACGTAATCAGCAATATCTCACCCAGTCAGGACGTAATCCTCAATATCTCACCCAGTCAGGATGTAATCAGCAATATCTCACCCAGTAAGGACGTAATAAGCAATATCTCACCCAGTCAGGTCATAA